ATTATTAATTGGGTAAAGACATTGAGGTATGGTTAAAATCACAGCGTAGGACATCAGGCTGTCTGGTCCAAATGACAAACTAATTAGAGTGAGTCAACTTATTAAAAGGAATATCAGACCACATCACTCTCCTACTTAAGATTATTTAATGCCTTTGCATTACAATTGAACAAAATCAAATTGTTATGCATAGCCTAAAAGGCCCAATAAGACCCAGCCCCTGCCAAACTTCCTGAACTCAGCTCCTATTATCTCCCTTTACCCACTCCATCCAGCCAGCTGGCCTTCTTTCTAGCCTGACAACGTGCCAAGCTCAGGCCTTTGAATGTGATGTTTCCTCAAACATGTGCGTGGCTGCTCTCATCAGTCACATCTCTGTTCAAGTCATCTCCTCCCAGAGGCCTTCCTTGATTTCCGCAGATGGAGCAGGTTTCACATGCCCTTTGTGGACGCTCTAGATCGCATCACTCCACTTTCTGCATAGCAGTCACCACCTAAAATGTGCTTGTTCATCAGATCGCTCCCCTGTTCACTGTCAATCTTCCTCGCCAGAACGTTGACCAGGCCCGGCACAGAGTGTGTTCTCTGTAAATATGTATTGATGGGCTAGACTAGTGCTTTTTGATTTATTGAGTAATATAAGTGATTCGAGCACATGAGGAAATTTTCAAATAGCATCAGGTATAAAAAAAAAAGTAAAATTATCCTCCTGTTTGTGCTCAGGATCTCCTCCTCCTGGTCTTGCTCCCAAGAAGTAAGTTGGTTTTGGAAGCTGTAGAATTTAGTCCATTAACATCACTCCTCTTCTCTTTCATTTTTAGAAGTTCCATTATCGTTTAAAATACCTTCTTTTGTGTACCTCTATAACCATAAACAGCACATGTAAACCACTATTTCTTGTATCCCCATTATGTAAGAAGAGAAAATGGGCACCACAGAGACTCCCTTCCCCTCTTCTCTGCCCCTCTTCAGCTCCAGTCATGACTTTCACATGATCAAGTTTTATTACATTCATATTCCGATCTGTAACTGTAATTAAGTCTTCTGTGCTTTGACGATAGTTTAGTTTCTTAAAATCGAATACCATTAAATGGCAATTGGAAATTATGATTATGTAAATATTATTCAGTGGAGAACCAAGCAGTTTGATTAGACTTGTAGAGAAGGAAAAATAACCCTAAATCACCAAATGCATGGCACTCAAAGGAGAAAGATCCAATCTTCAAGGTCAAATGAATTCTGTTTTCCACTTCATATTCCTTTACTTGCTCAAATCATGCTGCAGTTTAATTTGACATACGACATTTCTTGACAGCTTTGTTTTGTCTTTTCCAAAATCTCTAATTGCCTGTCTTTCTTCTTGCTGATATGAAAATTATAATAATAAAAATAAATCTTTTTAGAGAAGTTACTGAGGGCCAGGCACTAAATATTTTGCATGCACTGTTTCATTTAATACCCACAACGACCTTATGAAGCAGAAATTACTTTTATACCCATTTGTCAAACAAGAAAACTGAGCCAAAGAGAATTTAAGTAATTGTCCAAGGTCACATACATAGTTTGTAATTTGAGCTAAGCAGTCTGATTTTGGAGACCATTTTAATAATGTTGTAATGTCTTTATCCAATTAGGAGGCATAACAAGCTCCTTAGTTACACTGTTATTGAAGTAAATCTATTTTTTTTAATTGAAGACCTTAATGGGAGGGATTTCTGACTTCCTGTTTCCATTTGAACTTTCAGGGTCAGTCCTGCTGCATAGCTGTCATCTTGACATTTTATTTGATTGCACTTCTTGTCTGGTCCACAGATCTTCCTCTTTCTTTTATTTCATTTAAATTTTTTCTGGCATGCAATGACAGTAAGTTTTTCAGAAAGGGTAACTGGAAATGAAAATTTCTTGGTTGCTGCATGTTTCAAAAGTCCTTGCATGATATTGCCCTCACGCTTGATGATAGTTTGGCTAGCTGTACATTTAAGTTAAAAATAATCTATCAGAACTTTGCCAGCATTGCTCCACTGTCTTCCAGCATTATCCAGTTAGAGTTGGAGAAGTCTGACATCAGTTTTTCTGCAGATATTTTTTCCCCTCTGGAAGTTTGAAGTTCTTCTCTTTATCTTTGATGTTTCAAGATTTCATAAGAATCTTTTCAGGTGTTGGCTTTTTGGTTCAGTAATTGGTGCAACCAAGACTTGTGCTTACGTCTGCTCTAGGAAGTTTTCTTTTATTTGATTTGTTTGATGATTTCCTTCTTTCCGGTTCTTTTTTTTCTCTCCTTCTGGAACTCCTGTTGGATTGGTGTTGGAGTTCCTAGATTGAAGTTAGACCTAGCATTTTGCTTAAGTGTTTTTCCTGTTTTTCTTTTTAAAAATTCTCCTTCTTTCCTTTCTTCTTTCTCTTGAGTCCACAGTCTTTCTTTGACTTTGTCTTCTAGTCCTTCTATTTATTTTTCTGTTGACAAGTATGTATTTAATTGCCAAAAGGATGGGCTGTTCCCTGCACCACATTCAAGCAGCCTGTTCAGATCTGATGGATGCAGTCTCTCTTTGAATCCGTATCTGCATCCTTGGTACTGGCTGCTCTGTTAACTTAGAGAGTCTTTTGTGCTGTTGATTTCCTCAAATGTGTGCCGAGCCTTGGCTGCTTGTTCCTATTTGTAATGAAAGGATTCGATTTTCTAATATGGGCCAGTAAGGTGAGTCTCCTCTGGAGCTGAGTGGCTCTGATTCTACAGCAGATTTTACCAAAAAAATTCTCTCTGAGCTATTCCTACTTTGGGGGCAGTTCACACCCTTGCTCCCTGTATATAACCTGTGTATTTTTATCCAAGTGAAGCCAGAGTAAAGTGGGTATCATGGGAAGGCTTTAGGGAAAAAGGCATTATAAAAAGTCAATGTGTGGCTTGAGAAGCAGAAGTGAAGGAGGAGAGTCTGTCTTACGGGTGGTGGTTCTGCTATGGGTTAGTGTTTAATGTGGCTGATGTGTACAAGGGAACCCTAAAGTGTTTTTGTTTTTTTTAAAATTATGGCTTTATTTTTTTAGAGCAGTTTAAGTTTCACAGCGAAATTGAGGGAAGAGTACAGAGATTTCCCCTTATAACCTCTTCCCCTCTACATGCATAGCCTCCCCCACTATCAACATCCCCCAGAGTGGCACATTTGTTATAATTGATGAGCTTACATTGACACATTATAATCACCCAAAGTCTATAGTTTTTATTACGGTCTAGTCTTGGTGGTGTACAGTCTATGGGTTTGGACAAATGTATAATGACATGTGTCTATCTTTATAGTATCATAAGAGTATTTTCACTTCCCCCAAAATCCTGTGTTCTGCCTAGTCATCCCTCCACCCCTCCAACCCAGGGCAACCACTGATCTTTTTACAGTCTCCATAGTTTTGCCGTTTCCAGAATGGCATATTGTTGGAATCATACAGTATGTGGCCTTTTCAGATTGGCTTCTTGCACTTACTAGTATGCATTTAAGTTTCCTCCACATCTTCTCATGGCTTGATAGCTCATTTCTTTTTAGTGCTGAATAATATTCCTTGTCTGGATGCACCACAGTTTATTTATCTACTCACCTACTGAAGGGCATCTTGGTTGTTTCCAATCTAGAGGGTTTTTTATGGTGGTGAGTTTTTTCTCCCTCCTCTCTCGAAACCCAGGAGTCAGAACCATCTCCTTCAGCCCCTGGGTACCTCACAAAGTCACTGCCCAGTCACTATTAGCAGCACAGCAGACCTCCAGGACTCAGAATATAGAGCAACTGTTTAAATCTATATTGTCTAGAGAAGGGATTGGGCATGCTACCCTTGGACCAGCTCTGGCCCCTTCCTAACTTGGTAGTCTGTTTATTTTACTAATATATTTTTTTCTTCTCTTGTGAATACAAGATCATTGTGAGAACTTGATAAATTCGGGAGAGTTAAAATATTAAATATCACTCATTATGCTACCATTCAGAAAAAAATTAACATTTCAGTATGCAGCTTTCCAATTTTTTGAGAAGAAATAGGTAGCATACAATATATATAGTTTTTATTTGACTTTTTAAAAATTTGTAGCTCATATCTTTAAATGTTCTTCAAAAACATGATCCTTGATGGTTGCACAATATTTATCACAGGCCGTACTACAGTTTATTTGACTATTCTCTATTTCTGATGTTTGGGATATTTCTAAAGTTTTTCTGTTATGAATAATGTTATGAGAAACATTCTTGTTCGTAAAGCTTTGTTTTTTTTTGCACATCTCTGTTCCTTGGATTAATTCTTAGAACGGCAGATAATAGGCCAAAGTGTTTCAACACATTTTAAAGCTTTCGATGCATACTGCCAAATTGTCCATCTGCTGAAGCTGTATAAATGGATACATTTTTGGTTAGTGTGTAAGAATTCCCTTGTGACTGAGCTAGCATCTAAACTTGATACTATCTTAAAAAAAAGAGAGAGAGACTGGGAAAAAATTTTCTATCAGCATAATAGAAGGGAATATTTTTCAATGTTTTTTCTCTTGTGTTTTTCTGATTCTTAGCGAGATTAAATATCTGTCTTTGTCTCTCTATCCCATTTGTGTTTCTTCTTTTATTATCTTTTCTGTTTAGATCTTTGCCTATTTTTCTGTTAATGTGCCTCTCTTTTATTAATTAATTTGTAAGACTTTTATAGATTAAGAATTGTTCTTTTCCATATCCATACATATATAGAGGAGAAAAATTCTTGTTTAATAAATAAAATCAAGATTTTTTAAAAATCCTAAATTAAAAAAAAAGTTTTAAATTTCTTGCATGAACCTTTTCTCTTATGGGTTTATATGCTTTGGCACTTTTGAAATTTAAATCTTTAAACCACCTGGAATTTATTTGTACAAGTATGATATAGAGATCTAACTTTATCGTTTTGCTAAACTGATGGCCAATTGTACCAACACCATTCGCTGAATGATATTTTATTTACCAGCCAGACTGAAATGTTATTTTTGAAATATCCTTAATTCTTACATGCATTAGGACCTGCTTCAAGGATACCCTCTCACCGTATCTGCTTACTGAAGTAGTAACACATTGTTCTAATTATTCTATTTTTACTTCATATTATTCTATGTGGTAGTGAGAATTCTAATGACTTGCCTTTTCCAAAAATTTAAAAGCAATTCTTGCCACTTATTTTTTCATATAAACTTCCGAATAATTTAATTGTACTCTTTCCTGTCCCCAATCTACTGAATCTAATATATTAAGCCTATAAATTAATTCGAAGAGAACTGACGTCTTCATACTCCCCAGGCTTTTCCTCCCGCATGATCTATCTTCTTGTTTATTCAAATAGCTAACTTGTTTTTATATAATCAGTAAAATGTCTGCAATATAAGATTTTTAATCAATCCATGAACTCCTGTAGAAATGTGGTTTGACCAAAGCAGTCCTGGACCAGGAGGCGTGGCTTCTTGCCCCAGCTCTGCCGCCGATCCGCTGTATGAACTCGGACAAGGAGCATCTTTGGGCCTCAGTGTTTTCACCTGTAAAATGAAGAAGGCTTCATGAAGAGTCCTCGAAGATCTCTCCAGTGAAGGCAGTCTGTGATTCCATGAATCATGATGCAAAATTTGTCCCCCAAAGGAGGAGCAACGTTACTATACCTCACTGCACGATTGTCACAGGCATTCGCAGAACTGTGATCAACGTATCCACCCACCCCTCCTGAGATGAGGGGCACTAAGAAACAGAAGACCTGTGTGTTCTATGGAATTAGTTCGCTTTCTTACATTTTCTAGCCTTCAGTGCTGTGATAAAAACAAATTTAAAAGCACCCTGCAACACCGTCGTTGAGGTTCCAAAGCAAGGGTGAGATGTGAGCCCTCAGTGGGAGGAGGCGGGTCTCATGATGGGGGCATGGAGCGTGGGCACTGTTACCATTGCGCAAAGCTCCAGGGAAGCGAAACAAAGGAAATGGAGGAGCTTTGAAGGTCCCTGCCAAACTCTTCTTAAGAGCAACAGGATTAGGAGGAAAATGAGGCTTCTGAGGGCATGACCAAGCATTTACTATCCCCTTGGAAGCTGCAAAACAAAAACACAATCATCTTCATCTCGCCATTAAAAAGAAAACATGAAGGACAGTGGATCTGGTTGATCTCTGTAAGTGGATTACAAAGCTTGGATGGAAATTCTTTTGCAATGAAGTGGCCCAAAGCTTCATGGCCAGGACAGAATACCTCAGCGCAGAGCTTTAGGTCCACCCTAGACCTTAGAAAAATGAGGCTTAATTCTACATCATAAATGGTTTTAATCTGCACAACTTTTCCTACTACTTTTGAAACAATTTGGTTTCAGGAACAATGGAAGCTCGAACTCAGTTTGTTGGCGGCCATTAACAGCTCTCATTTGGATGAATATTTTTGAAAGCTCTTTTTTTTTTTTCATTGTCACAAAAAATGAACTAGCGATGCATAAGCAAACATAAAAGAAGAGCTTAATATATTGGCAGATAAAAACACAGCACACAGTGAAGGAATGTATTATGGACATCAGCTGTAAAAATGTTTTCAATTCCTTTTGGTGTTAAGATACAGCGTAAGAAACTAGTCAGTTTCTGGAGAGTCGCTTGAGGCAATTTGCATAGAGAATGTTTATTGCAGGATGGCAGATGTGACTGAATAAATAGAGCTGGTTCTTGTGGATGTTGCCTCCCGTCTCTGTCCAGGCTCCCAGCATCTGGGAGCTGAGGCCGTGCGGTGCTAAGAGAAAGATTCCAGGGATCGAGACACAGTAACAGGTCTTCCCCACAAGTCTGTATAATTTTAACTTAATTTGCAGCTAATCGATGCAGCTCTGTTAGAGGTTTCTGTGAGGTGAGTCCTCTGAAAGAACTCTTTGAACAAGAGAAATGCAGGTTTACTCTCAGCCCCAGAAACATTTCCTTTTTTTTTTTAAGATGGCACAACATAAATTCACCCCGTTTGTGCACATTGTGATCCTTTCCCGTTCTATTGTGGAAGATGGTTTACCACACAGGCTCTTTTATAACCGGGTTCTGGGGAAGCACTTAATTACTCACCTAGGGAGGAGGGCTTCACGTGGAGAAAAGAGTGACGAAAATGTTATGAAAAGTGACATGGATTGAAAGGGAGGATAATACGCCAAATTATAAAACCAAACAGACAATTTTCTTTGATTTCCTTCCAGATGTAAGAAAGAGGTCGTGTGAACCAACCATCCTGCGAACAGACGATTGTTCCCTCTGGGGGTCCTAGGGAAGGGAAGGAGGGGCAGAGGAGCACACGGGTTGTGGCTCATTTGGGTTTCTCGTTCCAGATGCAGTGGTGACAGCGGACCTGCTCCACTGTGCCTTCCAGTTGCCTTTGGGGTCAGGTTCCAATGCTGAGCACGCCCACGAGCGCTGCTGGTCAGCCTCTTTTCCAGCCATCCTCCACAGGCCCCCAGGGTTCCTCAAGAGCAAACGTCACCAACTCAGGTTGGCCTTCCACGGTCTGCTGACCTACCTTAGATCTCCCACGCCTATGCGCTCACCGCATCCTGCGGGTTTCCCACCTGGCTTGCACCGCTGTCTGTAAATGTGCATTTGCCTGTGCATTTACTGGTTTCTCTGGCCGGACTGTGCATCCCAGTCAGGGCTCGCTGCCGCTCCCCAGCACCCGGAAGAGGCCTGGCGCAGAGAAGATGCCCAGTAAATTGTTGGTGACAAATAAGCCGCCTTTATGGTTTTCCGAGGAAGGCTGGTCTCCATTCCCCTGGCTTGTCCAGGCAGAATTCTCCGACAGCTTGATTTCCATCTGCCTCCCCTCTACTTTCTCACTCCCCGTCTCTGTCCTTCCCTCCTTCCCTCTGTTCATTTGCAACAACTTTATTGGTTTCCTTGTTTTTTTCTCCCATGTTGCTCTAGAAGGAAACAGATGGGTAGAGGATTTCAGATGAATACTGAATATCACATCCCCATTGATGAGATCATTTCGGAATTTTCTAAAATTACTCTTCACGGTTACATGGCCAGGGAGAAAATATCCCTGGGTTTTTGAGAGTTGGGATGCTGCTGCCAGGTTTAAACCATTATCAAAGAGACAAAGGCTCATCAGGATAAAGCTGCTGGAATTTTCTTCAGCAGTAGACTATATTCAATAATAGTACTCACCTGGAGGTACACTGCGCGACAGCTCCTTCTTTTGCGTGTGTGTGTAATTACTTGTCACTGTCCCTAAATGTCATATCTGGGACAGCTTATCTTCCTTTATACATTTGCAATAGCATCCACCTTGAGGCTGCCCATAGCAGATTACACGGCCTTGGAAAGTATTTTTAATATTACATATTAATAGCATAAGATTTTTGTCTCCTCCGTTTAAAAAAATGTCGGCCAGTGTGTCAAAAAGGTGATGTCACGCCTTGAGCGTATGAAAGGCATTCCAGGTGTTATGGCCTGCCTGCCACATTTGATTCCATCATCCCGTATTCCCCAGGAAATTAAGTTTGTATGGACTTGGCTCCTTCAGAGAAGCCAGCTGAACTCTGTCAGGGTGAAGCCCATCAGTTGTGTATGGAGCCATCTCTAGCATTGATGCTACAAACTGAGTTGTTGGAGCCAAAGAACAGGCAAACACATTCGTGGTACCTGGTGGCCAAATACCCTCTCTTCCCAGTGATGCCCTTAGCATTTTGACTCTAGGCCAACCACCTCTCTCTCCCACCTTCCTCTCAGCTGGAGAAAGGCTGCCCTGGTGCAGAGCTGCAGCCAGTCTCAACATCTCAGCGCAGGCAGGGAGGTCTGTCAGTAACCTAGCAACGTGGCCACAGAAGCATCCTCATGCTCTTTAGTTTTTCAAATAATGAAAAGATAGTCAATAACATTTTGCGATTTAAACAGTGCAGTCTCCAAGGACCTTAAAGTCTGCTGTGAATGGAGGAAAGGAATCACGAGGACCTGCTCCTGCAGGGATGGCTAGCTCTATTTTACAGATGGCTAAGCGGGATCAAGCAGAGCACAGGGGTCCATTCCACATGAGTGGCAGGACCGGCTCGGAAGTGTGCAGAAAGAACTTCGACCAACGGAAATAACTAAAGAAAGGGAGCTGTAAACCAGCCCATTTTTTCTCATTAAACTTTACGCCTCTTAGGGAGCAGAGAATGTGTTCTTCATATGTTCTAAAAAGTATCAGCCTTACTAGTTCCTAAATTATAGCTGGAATCAATGGGTATGTGGTCTACCTTATAGCCTCACTGCTGAACGGAGGGAGAATCAGCTATCGGAAAAGTTTGTTAGTTTTCTAAAAGTGGGATTATTCTGTGATTGTTTTCTGACAATGTAATTCATTTCTGATCTGAAGGCAGATACTCTTGTTTCTTCACTCCTTCATTTTTTCTAACAGTGGTGGTTTTTCTAAAAAAATTGCCACACATTTTCTGATACTCCTTGAGAGATGGGGTCTTTGTAATCTCCTCTAGAGTCTGGATGGGCTTAACTGACTCAGTCAATGGGATATTGTGGAAGTTATGCCGTTTGACTTTCTAGGCTGACTCATATAAGGTGGTACAGCTTCCTCCCCATTCACTGGAACACTCACATTGGGAGCCTGGGGAAGCCACGTAGGAAGTCTGACCAGCACGAGGCCGCCATGCTGTGTGGAAACCCAAGTCACACTGTGAGGCTCTGCGTAGCTGCCCCGGTTAACCATCCCAGCTGAGCTCAGCCTGAGTCACTCGCCTCCAGACACCAGACATGTGAGTGAAGGAGCCTCCAGGTAATTATCCTGCCCCAAGCCATTCTACTTGTCCCATCTGAAGCCGTGACATCGTGAAACAGACGCTAGCCATCCTCTCTGTACCCTTTCCAAATTATCTGTAAGAATAATTAAATCATTGTTGTTTTACACCACTAAGTTTAAGGACATTTCTTAAGCAACATTAATAACCAAAACACTAACTGAACCCCAATTCACCCTCCACTGCATGTTTATGTCCTGGAGGAGAGGATGTGGCCCTTTCTCGGCTGCTGAGGGTGAGTATTTGTTTGTTTAAGGCAATTGTGGTCATGTCATTTCTCTCACTATGTGTTTAGATTGGGTGTGATCTGGAGATGCTATTCCGGCCAATACAATGGGTGGAGAAGTTTGCTGGGCTGCTTTTGGGAAAATTCCCCTTATTCTCAATGGGATTTGCAGGACAGGGTGGTTCCCACTGCTACCTTTGCATGTTGTTGTCTGTGCATGGTGCCTATGCCTGTGGTACCCATCCTAGGACTCTCTATCGGGGGAGACAACAGCCCAAGAGCACAAGCCCCACACTGAAGGTGCTAGGTCAAAGAGGAGCGGGGAGAAGCCATGCCCTTGATGATGCTCAACATCGACGGTGCTCAGTCCTGGAAGAAGCTCCGCCTTTGCACTTCTTGTTGTGGAGTATAGTTTCCTCGTTGCTTGAGCCTGCTTGCGTTGGGCCTTCTGAGAGCTTCAGCCAAAGTTGCCTAAGTGGTCTTTGCTATCTCAGAGCACAGATTTTGGTCCTAAAGATCCAGGTTCAAATCTTGGTTCTGTCACTTACCAGCTGTGAAACTTTGAGTTGTTCTGACTCTATTCCTTCAACTGTAAAATTAGGATAAAAAAGGTTTTCGTTACTGAATTCTTGTGAAGATAAAATCATTCACTCAATAAGTCATTATTGAGTGCCTGCTGTGTGCCAGGCACCGTTCTCGGCACTGGGGAAGTGGCTTTGAGGGAGACAGATAAGCTTCCAGCCGTCATGGTGCCTTGATTGGTGCGAGGGAGCCGGGTAATAAATGAGCAAAGGAACAAGAGAATCTCAGTGGCAAATGCTACGAAGATGGAATGAGACGAGGCCCACAAAACGCCCAACACTGGGCCTCGCACACTGCCAGCAAACCGTAATGGTATCTATTGTTTTTATTCTTAAAGTTAATGGTATTCAGATCACCATTAGGAAAAGCGAGTGAGCATGAGTGAACTTTGATTTTGGTCTGAGGATTGTAGGAAAGCGAAGGGTGTTCGTTCCTCCTGTTTCCATCCATTAGGATTAAGAAGTTGAGGCCTGCTCTGCAGTGCACTGGTCTGAATTTTAGCCTTTAGCATCTTGGAATTGGCTCCTTCCTCGGCCCGGCCCCGCCCCAGGTTAGCTGGGAGAGGTGTGTGGCTGTTGTGCAAGGGGCTCCATGGGAAGGGCGTCCACTGGCTCTGTTCTGACCCTCGGGCAGCCGGGGTGATGGGAGAGTGTCAGACTGAGGTGGCCAAGCGCCAGCACGTCCCCAGGTTCTCCTTGCTGCCATGGCCTCACGCCGCCCAACTGTGCAAAGCGGGTGGACGGACGGAACCACGGCTCCAGCGCCCGCACGCCGAGGTCGTGCACTGAAAGCTGCGAGGGCTTGGCTGGGCGAGGCTCGTTTCGTCTTTGCGGGAGCAGTTCCTGTTCTACGTTTTCCAAATACCTAGAAATTGGAGAATAATGACAAAAACTACTCAGCGTGGATTTTTGTAGGGAGGGGTGGGCCAGGCATTTGTAAAGTATCTTTAAATTGCCGTGGCGTCCAAGAAAGATTAATGGATGAAAAGTCTTGACTTCCAGCTCAAAGTGGCAGAGGAAATTCTGCCATAACATGGTCTGCCGCTAATCCCCATCAGTGCAGAGCTGGATGACTTTTTGCACTGTCTTATCTCTCTATTAAGGCATCTAATCACTCTTTTCCTGTTTACTTTCTCCCTAATATGCACAGTCTGTTAATGATAAATAGTGCTGAATACCCACCCACACCTCCAGCTGAGAGACTGAGCTCAGGGGCTCTCTGCCTGTGTGTTTGGAAGCCGTGCTTATGCTGGGTGCTGCCTTGACGCCGGTTATCCCAAAGAACACCCCCTTCTCACATCTCAGCTCTCCGTGCCAGGCTGGAATTCAATCTGCCTGGCTTGCTGGGCAGCCCTTCAGATCTGAGTAGGACTTCGGGCTGCTGCTGTCAAACCCACGGAGAAGAAAAACAAGCCCTGCCTGCCCGGCCCTGGCTGCTGGGCGGCCGAGACCTGCAGCTGCGTAGCCATCCTGTCGTGAGTGATGGGCCGTGACCGCTCAGCTGTGCAGGCTCACCACTGAAGATGCACATGCAGCCCTTTCTTTTCTTTGCGTGCTTGCATCTGTTCACTGAGGCATTCCCCTGGAGCTCAGGGTGGTGCATTTTTTTTTTTTAGGGGATTGTCGGTTCCAAGTGCTTCTTGCCGTCTTACAAAGGAAACCTGCTGAATCATCAGTGGTGGACAAATACCGTGGCTGGAGCTGACGTTTGATGGTGTTCCTGGTGGAGGAGGCCACTGTCCGTTCAACCTTTAGGCCTTCGTGGAGGGGTAAGGGGTCTTATTAGGAAGGGGAGTAGGTAAGTGGTTGCCTTCTGGGGTCCTCCTATCATCCTGCCTTTTTTCCTCCTCCTTCTAGTTAGAGAGAAAAGACCTGAGCTCTTAAATCAGACAGATCCAGGTGTGAAAGCTGATCTTGCCATTTAGATGCTGTTCGACATTGAGAGAGTTACGTAACCTCTCTTTTTTGTCTGCTTTTTTTTTTTATTTGCCTTTGGAAATGAAAATAATGCTTAAGTCGCAGTGTTGTTGGAAAGATTGGATCAGCTCACAGCATCCACAGGGCTCAGTGACCGTCTCATTTAGACGTCCTCTTTGAAAACACAAGTGTCCTGTCAAGGATTCCTACAACGCACTGAGAGCGCATCAATGAGCACTTCCCCGTCCCTGAATGATAATTAAAGCAAAGATTGACAGAAGGAAGTATCGAGGGGCAAGGGAGAGAGGATCTCGCAGGAAATGGGTGATCGCGCCAAAGACCTTGACTTCCTCACCTCCCAGCTTTGCCTGGGCTCAGGCCTTCAGGGGAAACTACGGTGTATAGAGAGTTTTCTTTATCTAATCCCTTCTAAGGTACAGACTTTTCCCACATTTAAAGATCTCTGATGTTTGAATTCATTTGACAGTTTATGTCATTTATAAATACAATTGTTTCTTTGGCGTCTAGGAAATAAGAGCACATCTTGTAACCAATGACATCCCAGTTTTGATGAATACAGTAACACTTTTTATAAGGACGACAGTTTCAGGAGTCTAGGGCCTGCCCTGGGATCTCATCACAGCTATTGTCCAAAACAGTAGCCGCTCGCCCGCTGTGGGTTTTGAGCGCTTGAAATGTGGCTGGTCCAAATGGTGATGTGGTGTAGTGCAAACGCTCGTCAGATTCTGAAGAACTAGTGCAGAAAAAAGTAACATTAAAACAGCTCACTAATACTTTTTTCATTCATTAAATGTTGAAATGATAATATTTGAGATATTGGGTTAAATAAACTATATTATTAAAACTGATTTCATCTGTTTCTTTTTACCTTTTTAAGGTGGGTACTAGAAACTTTCAGTTTCCGTATGCAGCCTGCGTTACACTTCTGGACAGTGCTGTCACCGAATGAGGATCTCAGAGATTGTCTATTGTGACCACCCTGTAGAAACTGGATGGACCTCAACCCAAAATTTGGCTCAGATGTTGAGACTGATTATGTCACATATCAAGAGGAGATGAAAAGGTTTGTTATTCATGCAATGAGGCTTTCGGGGGAGAGCAGAGTCCATCCCAGGCAGGTCCAGAAAGAGCCTGAGGGAGCAGGGAAAGGAGATTGGCTTGGGATTTTTCTGGTGGTAGGGGGTGGGACAGGGTGAGGGTTCCCGCGTGCTGGCAGAGCGTGAGTGACTTGAACCTCCCTGAGGGCACACCTGGGCTTTGCCAGAGGTGGGGCAGAACAGGAAGAGGGAAGGGTGAGGTTAAAAGCTGTCAATTCTAAATGCTGACAATAAAAGATTCAGACTTGTACATTATCTAATCCTGTGCCTTCATTTTACCAATGAGGACTCAGACACAGAAAGGGAAGGTGACTTGCCTGAGGTCACACAGCCAGCTTGTGGCAGCACTGGCACTGGAATCCAGGCCTCTGGGGACCAGAGATTTTTCCTCTCCCTCATAGTGTCTCATGGAAAGCCACCTTGGAGGACAAGAAGATTCTTTCTCCAGGAGATGGTCTTTGTGTTTTGTGGATCTGCTGGGAAGGAGGAAATGCTGAAAGCTGGCGGTCAGGTGCTGCCTGGGCCCCCAGGGACTCTGGCTCCTAGAGCAGCCCCAGGCCGACTTGGCTGATGTTTGCTGACAAGCTGGCTCAGGAAAGTGACTTGAAAAGTAAATACTAACTCAACACAAAATGAAAAGGAAACGAAGAGTCTGAAAAAAAACCAAAAACACAAACAAATCCGTGAGAAGAGAGTGGGCATTGTGCGCTCCCTCTTTTTGACATCAAAGTGTCTTTGAATGGAGCCAGGAAGCTCTCACATCTTTAAATCCACGTTTACTTGAGGTTTGAAAACTTCCAAGAGAGGTTAGCAGTCCGGGGACAGAGGGCTCCCACTGCACCACAGGAGCAGAGCTTAAATGCTTTACAAAGAAAAGGGAACACACTCGTTGGGGTTTGTTTTAATCCTTCCAGGAGAGTGGTGTGGAGTGTACAGCATGCATTTGGAAGCCCGAGTACTTAAACACACATCTGGGAAGGTTCAGAATCTTCGCCTGGTTCTCGGTGTCTCTGAAGTGTTAGTAGTCCAGTGTCTTGTTTATTGTGCCACACAAAAATAAATCTGAATCTGTTTTGATTTTTCTGATTCTCTTCCACTCTGGAAGTAGAGCAGCCTTTTTGGTGGAAGTGACTTGCATAAAGTCTCAAATAATTACCAATTCCAGCTGACACTCGCTGGGACCCTGGAACTCGCTCCATCTGCTGCCTTCCAGGAAGAACAAAGGATGGAAGGAGTTGCTGGAGAACCAGAGAAAGAGCGCCTCCTATATTATGGCCAACACAGAGAATTCCATAAAGATTTGCATGTGGAGTCAGCCCACAATTGTCTGGCGAATGGGAGAAGATAGATATGAAAAGGTAAAAGCTGTGGAGAACACTCGATGACTTATATTTAGCTTTGAACTGTTTTTGGTTGGTACCGTCTTTTGAATATGGGGATTTTATAGTTAAAACAATATCAACATATATCAAGTATGTGTTCTGTGCCAAGCCTGGGGTAAGCAATTTCACATTTCTGATATCGTCTCTGTTGATACTATTATTTACTGTCTGAAGGGCTTCTTCACCTGGAGAGGAATGCTTGCTACTATCTATCTTTTCTTTGATGCTCAATTTATTAACTTTTCGGACTTTATGAAACAATAAGCATTTCTTTAATGATTAAATAATATTCCGCTAAATATTTATACACTGCTTAACACAGCTAAGAAGTCAAAATTTAGGAGTTTGAGAAGATATTTTCCCCCCAAAACTTAGGAACTTATTTGATTAAACTCTCTCTCTCTCTCCCTTTTTTTTTTTTTTGCTGAGGAAGATATGCCCTGAGCTAACATCCGTGCCAATCTTCCTCTATCTTTTAGTATGTGGGCTGCCAGCACAGCATGGCTGCTAACAGAGTGGTGTGGGTCTGCACCTAGAAACTGAACCTGGGGTGCCAAAGTGGAACACGCAGAGTTTAGCCACTAGGTCACGGAGGCTGGCCCAGATTAAACCCTTCTAAACAGTTAATTTTCACAAGTCCCATGTATCAGATTCTCTTAAATGCTCTGAATAACCTAAGAAGGAGATAAAACACACACAGTATCACAATGATTGCAGACCTTGTTCTTAACACTTACACGGTTGATTTCAGTGTTGGATTATTTCTAGCCACATCTGTTTCCTCATTCTCCCTCTTGCTTCGCAGTAATTTTACCAGACCAACTTAGACGGCAGTTCTGGGATGCACCGGTGGATTCTTGGTCCAGACGTGGAACCTGTTTTTTAAGTTCAAGATGAGTTTAACCACAACCCAGGTTGATGGCCCTGACTGGGTGGTTTAATTTATTTTTCTCTTTAGTCACAGGATTTTAGGATTGTGAGCCTTTTGATATTTGTCGTCTTTCTCACTGTCCTGCCATTATTGGGTATTGGCCAGGTCTTTAAGTAGAATCAGAACACAGTTATGCTTTCCTAGTATCGCATTATTATTAACGAGTGCATTTAGACGATGCGTTTTGTGTAGTAAACTCTCTTCCTTGGGCTGTATGGGGGATGCTGCGAAGAGCCCTCCCCACTGGCCCTCGTTCCTCCAGTGGGGAGGCACGTTGTCTGCTGATGGCTCATAGCAAAGTCCTCCCTCAGAAACTGTCCTTGGACAGAGGGAGCTGCCTCGCCCCAAGGACAGGTTGGCGTGGTGGTACAGGTGCCCTATCCGCTTGCCTCAATAGCCATTCCAGCTTTAGAGCTCCCCGTGAAATAGGCTTAGATCTTTGTTGCCACTGTATCACACTTCAGCTCTCCCTTGTGCTCCATTCTGCTTCCCTCACTTGCTTACAGGGGTTCTTTCCAACAAGACACCCCAGTAAACCTCCACCCTGGACTTTGTTTTCAGGGAGTCCACCTACAAAGGCTAGTGCCAGGCATAGTCCTACAAAGCAGAATCCAAATTAGGATTTTGGACCCTGGGGGATGATGCCACTGACCAGGTGGCCATGAGGACTCCATCATTGTTAGTAGCCCCATGATGGTGGGATGGTGCAGTTGCTAAAATTTCTCTGGGGGTGAACTGAGATGGGATACCAGTGAAAGGGAATTCACTGGCAGATGTAATGTTCAGCGCTTTAGAGGTTCAGAGCAAGTAAAAATTTTTAAGATTGTGAATTGGATGGCACTTGTCGGGGGATATCAAGGCATTGAGAAAAACGAAAGTCTGAAGGTGATTAAACACCAATTTAAGGTGAAGTGTGAAAAGCAGAGGGCCTCCTTGCAACATATAAAGAGACTCTCATTTCCAGCAGCCAAAGGGCAGAAAATGCTCAGCATCAAGTCTAGGATTTAATTATAATGTCGACGCAGCTCTGGAAGAGGTTGAATTCTCAAACCTGGCAAATCTCCTGCCCTAAGGTCAGAGTCCTGATGAGAAAGGTGTGGGACTCTTAGACTTGGGATGGGATCACTTGAGTTAGTGTAATCGACACTCTTTATCCCTTGAGTCTCCTGAACTTTCTGAGCCTGCAGAAATGGCCACAGTCCTCACTATTAAAGACTGGTGCACCCCTTTCTTGAAGACAAGGCAAAGATTTTTGCCTTGAAAAAGACGTCACCAATCCCGTCTACCCCCAGGATCTATCTCTACATGGTTATCCTTTCTACCATATAACCTGGCCGGAGAAGTCCGGGCCTACTAAGGGAGGAAAGGTAGCAAGAATACCTGGCCAACATGTGGTACCAGAGCTGGAAGAGTATGAACGGGAGTCAGGATCAGTTGGGGCTGTTGGTGAAGGGGAAGTACACAGTTGGTTAAAGGAGGGTTTATTGAAATGGGAACACTCTCACAGGATATATGATTTAACACTTTGGCACGGACCCCAGGGGAGGATGCTAACACGCTGCTAACACACTGCCCTTGGAAGCTTGGAGAAAGTGATGGTCTACGCTAAGTGAAGTAGAAATGCCAGAACTGTGTGGTAGTTGGGAGAAGGGATCAAAGGCTGAGAAGTGGGCATGCTAGAGAGAAAATACGAAGTAAGGACAAAAAATATACCAACTAACTATGTTCCATGGGAAGGCCAGAAGAACCATCCATTTAACAAACAATAAGTAATGAGCAGGAAGGACACTAGCATCACGGAATGGTTCAGTGTTGGCTGTGCTCTGAAGGGCACGGCTGAAAGTAGGTGATGCTGTTCCAGGACCGAGTTCGGTGATAGCAATGGGGCTGATAGGATCCAGGCGGTGGTACTTAACTATCAAAAGCAAGGAGGGCACAGTTATCGTAATGAACGGCACAGGTCGAAGTGGCAGCCAGAAACCCTGAGCCACTGAGAGCTATGGAGATGGTTAGTAAAATGTAGTGTCTCTACAGGTGAGATCGACGGGCAGCCAACAAAGGATGGCTCAGCCCATCCAATCAAAAGACGTCAAAGCTAGACCATGAGGAGGTCGAGGGAACTACTCCAATAAAAGTTCATGAAGGCCCTTGTCCAGTTTCCAGACTTGAGCCAGTTTTTGGACAGAACCTGTTGACTGAAGGAAAGGCAGATTCTCCAGGACGAAGGAACTTGCAACACCACGCAGGTAAATATGATAATAATTCCTCGGATAATAATTCCCCAAAGGGCCTCCAATGGTACTCAGGTAACTGGATGAAGTTACTCTGGTAACTGCACACCCAAATATTTCAAACAGAGTTGGCAGCAGAGTCTCAGTTGACCTTGATACCCGGGGTCCCTCCCTCTTAGACAGCCTAGGTCCAACATACATAGTCCATTGAGTCCACGGAAGCATCCAGAGGTCGTTTCCCTGGAACAGACATACTTGGTAGTTTGTAGAACTGCCGTTTTATTCCTTGGCTTCTAAGCTAAGGGATATTGTGAGGAAAAAGCCAAGTGGAAGCCTTTGGAACTGCTCTCCTCCTAATGGTCACATGGGCTATTACTTTGTTGGCCCTCAATGAGCCACACCTTCCAATAGTCACACCTATGTGTAGTCCCCTCCAGCATCGACTCTGAGCTTGGGAAAATGGATGTGGGCAGGCATGATGCAAGCAAAGGCTGAGAAGAGTCTGCACGTGGTGGCTTGTCTTCTTGGAGTGCTTGCTCTGGGGATCTGTTAGCCATGGAAAGAAGCTCTAGGTAGCCACATGAAGAGACGACACGGAAAGAGAGGCCCCAGCCTGCCAGCCCTCCCTGCTAATGTGCCCACCACATGAGCGAAGCTGTCTTGGACATTCCTGCCATCTGACTGCATCTGCTTGAGAGACTCCAAGCAAGACCAGCAGAAGAACGATCCAGTTCAGCCCTGTGAACCCACGCGTTGGTTCTAAGTAATAAAATGGTAGCTGTTTTAATCCCCCACGTTTTGTGGTTATTTGTTATTCAGTAACAAGTAGCTTAAACAACTGTAAATTAAAAGCAATATAGCATCCTGAGGGGAATGGCAGAGATTAGTATAACTGATGAAGCCCTAAACCCTCTCAAAGCACAGAATTTTTTTGTATTTAATTATTTTATTGAGGTCACATTGTTTAAAACATTGGGTAATTTCAGGTGCACATTGTTGTATTTCAGTTTCTGTATAGACTGCATCTTGTTCACTCCCAATAGTCTAGCTTTTATCCATCACTATACATATGTGCCCCTTTATCCCTTTCGCCCTCTCCCCATCCCATTCCCTTCTGGTAACCACTAATCTGTTCTCTTTATCCATGTATTTGTTTATCTTTCACATATGAGTGAAATCTTACAGTGTTTGTCTTTCTCTATCTGGCTTATTTCGCTTAACATGATACCCTCAAGGTCCATCCATCTTGTTGCAAAGGCAAGATTTTGTCTTTTTATGGCTGAGTAGTATTCCATTGTATATATATACCACATCTTCTTTATCAAATCATCAGTTGATGGGCCCTTGGGTTGCTTCCACATCCTGGCTATTGTGAATAATGCCTCAATGAACATAGGGGTGCATAGGTCTCTTTGAATTGTTGGTTTCAAGTTCTTTGGGTAAATACCCAGTAGTGGAGTAGCAGCATCATATGGTGTTTCTATTTTTAATTTTTTGAGAAATCTCCTTCCTGTTTCTATAGTGGCTGTACCAGCTTGCATTCCCACCAGCAGTGTATGAGGGTTCCCTTTTCTCCACACCCTCTCCAACATTTGTTGTTTTTTGTCTTGTTAATTATAGCCATTCTGATGGGTGTGAGGTGATATCTCATTGTAGTTTTGATTTGTGTTTCCCTAATAATTAGTGATGTTGAACATCTTTTCAGCCTATTGGCCATCTGTATATCTTCTTTGGAAAAATGTCTGTTCATATCCTCTCAAAGGGCAGAATTTTGTGTGATACATCTGGTCATATACTTTTATGGAAGGAGAAATGGTTCAAGGTAAGAATGGTTCAAGGTCGTAGGCAGTGGTGAGTGGCTTGACCGGTTGGTTAGAGGCCTGGCAGGGGAAAGATTGGAAGGCTGGGGACACAGAGGTCTGGGAAAGAGGCATGTGGATGGACCTATGGGAGTGGCTGCGAAGTGTACCCTGTAGGTACCAGAGAACATTTCATTTCTCTGTTCCAACCAGCTCACCCCGACGCTGCACGCGGGAAGTATTATTCCTGAATTTAACTCCTCGCTCATTTCCTGAGCTTGTTTCTGTTTTGGCTTACACCTCCTTAGAGCAGGGAGATCATTATTTTGGGTCTGAGTGTGGTGAGAAAACCCCAAACCTCCCTTCCTGTGGGCTGGGGTAGTGCTCCGACGATTGTACCACAACTAATGACTTTTTTCTGATCTATTGGTTTGAATGCTAAGGTTTACACATACTGTTGACAAGAATTGCTGCGTGTGCTATAATTAATCTTTAGCTGTGAAATCGGAATCTTCAATCCAGGAAACACGTCCAGAGACGGCCAGGAGCACATTGCATTTAGACTGTCTGCAGTAGAATATCTTCTCCTTCCTGAGTAAGAGACTTGAGTCGGTGCTTGGTGCTGTCTTTAGCTAGGTTAGGTACTTGGCTGTCTTTCCAGCTCTCAATAACCTGCCTGCTTAGAGAACACACCTCTACTCATGGGGACGTTGTCCCGGAAGCCAGGTTTGTCCTACCTGCCGCTCTGGCCAGTTGATTGAACCAAGCATGGGCACCTGACCTGAGCTGAACAAACCATATTTTGTCTCCTGGAAACCTTGAATTGAGAATATGACCCATTCAGTCTGGGCTGGTCTTTTGAAGAGAGAGGACAGAGTCTCTGGAGCTGGGACATGTTCACCTGCTCACATGCGCACAGAAAAGCATCAGAGGCTGGTCTTTAGAGGGAAAAGAAAAGCCGATTTCCAGAGAACTTTCTTCTTCTGGGCTTCCATCCTTCCCTGATCCCACCTTCTTTTTGCCTCCGGAGATACTCCTATATCTTTATAAACCGCCTCCCCCCCGCCCCCACGCTGAAAGCCAACTTGAATTATTTTCTGTTACTTAAAATCAAACAGACTTAACTAACACAGGCCCTTTTGCCTGAACGTATTTTTGGTGCCTGCCTGTGGCTACACAACTTTTTCTTCCTTCCCTCCCTCCTTCCCTCTCTCTCTCTTTTCCTTTTAATTCTTTTCTCCAAGACTGCGTTATGATTGTATATTCAGGCTACAGAGAATCCCTGTTCTAACCTGAAGCCATTTTCTTGCCAAGAATCCCGTAGCTACTAACCCTCAGCTTTGATGGGTAAATTAAGCTGAAGGATGTACCTCCCAGAACATAGCTCACAATCTAGTACCTGAAGAAAATAAGCAAAGTCGTTGTTCTTCCCTAAAGGCAGCCTCCTCTTAGAAAGTACGTGTGTCTAGTTCCATTTGCGTGATCGTCAACAGCTCCTTTCACTGGGGAGGGAATGACAAGCACCAGAAGAAAAGAGGAAACAAGAGGGTGTTGTGGTCTTTTACGTGAGTTTCTTCATCCTTCAAGATTGTTTACTGTAGAAGAGAGACTTGACAGCCCCTCCACCTGTCAGTCAAGGAGAGTGAAACTGCAATGCGTTTGTTTAAATACACTTGATAAATCTCTACTCAAATTCAAATACTCTTTCTTGTCGTGGCAAAGCAACAAAAACCTGGATAGAGCACAAATTTTCAGAAATAGGAGAATGGTTGGATAAAATCTGAGATACCCACACTTTAGAAAGTTGAGTAGCTATTAAAAAGAATGAGTTTGAGTGACATGTATTATAGTATGAGCTCTATCTAGGGCAAAGGCTGCTCGTTATCCCTCTCCCTCCCAATAAGTCTACCCCTTTCCATGATTTTTAGCTGGGACATAGCTGAGAGGGAGAAAGACTACATTTCCCAGCTTCCCTCGCAGCAAGCTGTAGCCATGTGACCAGGTCCTGGCTGTTGAGATATGAGGGGCAGTGTGTTGTGTTCTGAAAAAGAGGGGGAGAAATGTCCTTTCTCCCTCTTTCCTCCATCTTATTTCCTGGAATGTGGCTGTGATGGAAAACTAACTTAAGCCATGTGGATGAGGGGTGCTGCCTGGGAGGGTGGGCAACAAGATAGAAAATGGAGCAGAGTTCCAGAAGGCCCTGGATTACTACCTATAGACTGTTAGGTCAGATAGAAAGAAAATTCTGTCTTCTTAATTTAGATCTGTTGTTTGCAGCCAGACTTATAGCCCAATTAATATCTTTTCTAAGTAGGAAAAGAAATATGGTTGTAGAGTATGTGTATAGTATGATTTCATTTAAAAATATCTGTGAAAGAAAGAATCTGCTTTACACATACGCATGTATACTTACAAATGTTTAAATGATCATGAGGAAATGTGGGAAAGTATATGGCCAAGTTTTTAACTTTGATTTTCTAAGAGGCGGGGTGAGGAGAAAGTATTCATACGTTAAACATTTTTTTTTAACTTACAACAATTAAATTTTTTTTTTAATTTATAGAGAAAAATTATTTCAGGTCTTCCTGAAATAGGAGTAGCTAATGTGAAGGTGCTTCTTTAAGCCACACAGTTGAAGGCTTTTGGGGTAAAATTCTGGAGCAGAGCCCCAGCCTGCTGTTCTGCCGTGCAGGGCACGCTCTCTGCCTGTGAGAGTTATGTTTGTGGGGTCACTCTCACAAAGTTTTTTCCAGATAGAGGTCCTGCTGGCTCTTTTATGTGGTTGGGTAGATGCTATTGGGGAAGACTGATGATTTTATGTTAAAAAAGGAGGAATTGTTGCGTTTTGCACAAAATTGTCTATTGATTTGCTTCCGTTGTGGAGGAATTGTGGGAAGAGGGGGACAGAATGAGTGAAGTGAAATAATGAAGCTGTGGAAAGATAGCTCCCTAGTGACAAGTGACCATCTGACCATGTGGCCAAAGCTCAGGGTGACAAGGGGCGTCAGGTAGCCCTGAGTTTACTGCCCGCAATGAATACAACAACGTCACTCACAGGGTATAGCGAGATTCACGCATTTGTTGATATGGCCGCAGTTGGAAATGAAAATTTGGAAATCATGGGCTTCAGAGTCAGAAAACAGCAGCAAAAGCTTTCAAATGCCTTTTCTAAGCATTTGCTCAGAATATGTATATTCTTTTGTGCTCCACCATACCTCCCCATTTCTCTGAGGAAAAAAATGAATGCCACAAAGCCATAGTTTGACAAAGGTTAAAACCGCACTATCCATTGAGCATAGGAGCTAATTAAATTTTTCCACTTGTCCAAGGAAAGGGAAACCAATGGCTTCCTTTGGTTTTCCATCCTTTGGTCAAGTGGAAAAACAAACCACTGTGAAGGGCAGGGTACGACACGTACACGTTTAGGAAGGCATCCTTTCCAGGGCCGAAATGAAGACTTTCAAAAAGGACTAAATAAATTCGATATGCAGTCCTTAATTTGACAAATGTGGAGGTGGTCTGGCATAGTAGAAAGAACATGGAATTTAGAATCAGTTGAATAGGGTTCAAATCCTTGATTTTCCACTTATATCAGTTTAATAGGATATTAAAATAAAAATTTTGGGGTATCAGTTTTGGCTAGGACTTCAAGACCATGATATTAACTTACATTACAAAGTGAGGTATGAGACCACCATGCAGGAATTGCAAGGAACTGTTCAAAACCAGTTTTGGGTCTCTTATCCCCTCAGCCATCATGAGTATAAAAGGATTGAATAGAGATTGGAAGAAGAATTTTGTTGAAAAGGTGGAACATTTTTCTTTTACCTCAAGCCTAGGGAGAAGGTCTCCAGTGGAACCACCAGTGAATTTGACATGTGTCTCAATGGATTGATATCTGAGTCATGCCCGAGACTCAGAAAGGCAAGAGACTGCTGTTGCTTCACTTTGCTGAGAGAGGAGTGAAAAGATGTTGCTGCAAAGGGGA